GATCTCCAGCCGCGACTTAGTTCACAGCGCACTGGTGGCCGGAGACTAGCTCTCCTCTTTCCTCTCCGCGTCCCCTAGCACCGCGTGCGAGCGAACTGAGCAACAGTCCATAGGAGCCACACTCACATTTATTGGCCTTATTTATGTGTTCTTTCGCCAATAGACATATTTATTACCACTGAAGCCCGATGTCTGCTCACTGCCTTGCTCCCTCCGATTTCCAACATGCGGCCTGCCGATACCGACAATACCGCGCTGCTTTAGCTGCAGAGGCGACAGGTTTTGAGGGCATTCGCTTTCAGCCACAGGCTGAGTGCCTGACACGGCGATCGCGGCTGCTCAATCCCGGAGATCGACAAGTTCCTGCGTAATGCAAGTTCTTGAGGAGACGTTCCGCGAAGATGCATATTTGAGGACTCCGAGGATCGATAGCGTCTCTCGATTGGATTTCGCCTTCGCGTTCCAGAAACCAAATTGTCCCAAGTCCCCCCAATGGCTATAATCGGCCGCACGGCGGAACTCAGCCTCTCAAGCGCGAAGTGAGACAATTGAGACATCAAAAAAAACAGAAAAGCAGCTGCCGCGAGAACAAGAGGAGAAAAGTTGTCGACTGGTTAATTCGACTGGATGGGAGCACAAAATCTGAAGAATTGCCGACATTCAAAACAGATGATCTCGGGGGCGGTTCAGTGGCTCTACTTCTCCATCGTTCCCCTCAACGATCCCTGGTCGCAGAATAAGGCTCAAGTTTCTTTAAGACCAATTTTGTCTCGATAAATCTTCGCTGCTCACCGACCGAGAGCCATCTTGAAACTTTAGTTGATGCTATTTTCGAGCAAATGGTTGACTGCTCGACTACAGCAGCATGTAGCAGCAGCTTTCCGTGTTCATGATCCTCATTACTCATTCCTATGAGGATTTATTTTCTGAGCTCACCAGAAGATGCTCCGTGCGACTCAGTGAGGCGATTCGACTCTGCACCACACCACCGCATTCGTCAGGGAGGTGTATTCCGTGATTCGAGAACAAGTTCGCGCTTCCGTTCCGATCATGTTGAATGATCGGCGGAACTTCCGCGGGAAGTTCTTCTCGCACGTCCGAAATATTCCGAACCTGCAAAAAGCACCGTGTACAGGCGAGACGAGATATTCTCGCGGAGATTCACGGTAAGATCGATGCGCCTTCGGATGCTTCTCCTCTCTATCGAGCAGTGGTCTTTGTGCCGACGCGATCTCAGAATAGAGACGCTTTGAAAAGCGGGCTGGGGAGGGAGGAGAGCGCCCCTACAGCATCTTGGGAGCGTAGCAGGGTCTTGAGTTGCATATCACGGGCCAAGCGAGCCTTGAGAGACGCTTAGTCATCCCGAGTCGATCTCCAAACTTAAGTAATCGGCCACGAAGATCTCGACGAGAGCAGCACACGCAGCTCCGGAAAGGGGGCCACCCGTTATCATTGATTAGATCTGCCTCCTCTGTTCCCATGCCCATTAAATAGCTGCCTCGTGTAGCATTGTCCACCCTTTCCTTCTGACCGAGCACGACTTTATTTCGTTACACTGTGATCCATCTTAGCGTCGAGGAACTTCGTTTTTCCCAAGTCTTTGAATGCCGCATGTCCCGAAGCAACAAAAGACATCGCGATGGAAGTCGTCGAAATTCAGCTTTCGTTCAAACCTCCTCAAAGAGGTCCCGTCCCTCGAGCGGTACGGCCCTCCAATTGCTAGGGCACGTGCGCTGGAGAAGCTCATGGCCCATGAGTATAAATACGATCCAAGTCTGACGAGAGGGAAGACGGAATGTATATGGAACTCGAAGGGCAGCCGCTAATGAGCGCACTTCAATTCATTCTTCAGCAGGGGCCAAGATGGATCCGAGAGAGCACTTTTCCTTCTATTGACGGTTCCCGACTTTCTCTATTGTGTGCTCGTCTCCCGCGGTCGTCGCTGCTCGGGTCGTCCCGTCCTGATGTCCCTCGTTGCCCTGGCGAAAGTTCTCTCGATTCTGACCCGCGTTGCCCTGTCAGAGTAGCACAAGTAGCACCCACGACGGCATCATCTTCTCTATTACTCTGAATGCTTTTCCCGCTCGGTTGCATCTGGAACCCCCGTGAACGAGGGAGAGAAGGCCACCGAACCAAACCCCAGCCCAAACCCCGCTTGGGGCCCCTAACTTTGCTCTTGAGTGTCCTCACCCGACTCCCTCCGCGATTCTATTGCCATCTCATGGTCTGCCACTTCGACCGATCCAGACTATTCCTCGCATTCGAATTCTAACGGAATGCCGCACACGAGACGCGTCGGACTCTTTTTCCATCGCGAAGCGGCGCGGGAACGACGAGCAACGACTCCAATATTCTATTCGAAAATTTCTCTTCCCTTTCGGGACGACCGCAAATTCTGAGGGCGACTCGTGGAGCGAACGCCGAACAGGCGGCTCTCAGTCAGATGAGAAGCCGCCCGAGACGCCAAATTCGCTGTTCGCTGAACCCTTGTCGAGAGCCTGCTCCGATTTCTGTTCGCAGCCATTGTATAACGATACAAAATAATCCTAATTCAATTCAGAGAGAAAAAAACTGCCAAACGGAGCGACTGGTCATTGATCTTTCCTCCTGTCTGTGTGTTTTGGGTGTTGTGTGAAATCAACCAAACCCAACAGAAGATCGGCAGGGCAGCAGCCAACGAACTGTCATAGTGGCGGGAGCAAGAGGAGGAGGAAAACAAACTTCGGAAGTATTTTTAGCAAAGTTGAGGGGTCGAGCGATCGTCGGGCACTTAGATGTAGTGTTTGAACTCCACTCCAGTGACGTACCGCAGCTTGGGCTCTTTCTCGGAACCCATGAGCTTTTGCGATTCTCATCTCAGAATAGAAATAGACGAGAGCTAGAGCCTGTGCGTCGAAGGAAAATTACCGCCTCGAGGCGGATCGACAGAATCAGAATCTTTGGATTAGAGAAAACACAGCTCCTCCGAGACCGAAAACAGGATCGAGGAATGGGAATGTCGCGATTCTCGTATGGGAACCTCGGATCTTTGCCGGAATCAGTCCCCTTCCGACCGAAGCACAATAGGAGAAAAATCTTTGTCGGGCTCTCGGCCTGTGCTAATCCGCGACATACTCATTGAACCGAGTCTCTTCCCTCTCACGAGTACCCACGCCAGCGTCGAGGAGTGAGACTTCGGGGAACTTCCCCGTCATTGGATGTATTGATACGAAAAAATCTACTTTCCCTCCAGCTTTCCGCGTAATGAGGTCTTACTTGAATATTAAAGGCTCAGGAACGGATTTACTCGGGGAGCCCAGGATAGCAAGTGAGGTGATGAATTATTCCACTAGAGGCTAGCCGATTCACCCGTCTCGAGGGGAGTCGACTGCATCCGGAGGTAAGTGTCAAGTGAGGCTGGCTTGAACTCTTGGGAAGCTCGATGTGGGGTTGTGATGGTCGTTGTTAGCGGTTCGCGGGGAGATGCCTTGCTGCCAAGAGCAGAAGTGCCTTTCAGCGGTCGAATTGTGTCTTTGAAAGCACAACTCTAGCTCGAGGGCTTTTGGGGAGAATAACAATTACCGCGATCGTCGCGTCGTAGGAAAATTCACTGAAGTCCTCCATGTAGAGGAAAATATATCGTTTGGTTTTCGGGAAAAATTAATCAAATCTGTCTGGATGCGTAAATGGAAGAAGCGATGCGGGATCATGTCGCGGCTACTAGACATTGATGGATCGATTTCGTCATTTGGAAGGGAAAAATTCGGCGACCGAGCAACGTCCCAATCCATGCGTTTGTTGATGGATATTCAGGCGGTGACCTCAGCGCGTCCCGTGTTTGACCCGACATCGTACATACTGACCTCAGAATTCGAACTCATCTACGTGGCAGCGAACGTTTAGGCGAACAGGCCAGCAAATGCGATTATCGACTTACCTGGAAAGAAGGGAATGTGAGTTTTGAAATGGATTTCTCCGCGAGCTCCGAGTCTCGATCCGGAGGAAAAATCGAGTTCACATGGCGTTCGGATCGCCGAGATCCACGGGCTCGTCATGTGAATACCGCAGCACACAACGTTCAATGAGAAGACCGAACCTAGAGATCATGAACTGGAACTGCCAAGGAAGGCAATCAATTCGCTCCCGTGACGAATCCAAGATGCCGTGATACACGTTCGATTGGAGCACATCCGCTTTCCGCGGAGCGACTCCTGCCGGAGAAATAAAAAGTTCTCGAAGCCCTCAAAGATCGTCGACCTGCTCCTCGGGGTGGAGTTGTACCGCAGGGAGGAAGAATCGCTTGCTCACCTCGCCATCCTTCCGACGATGTACTCGTGAAGCCATTGACATATACACAGGACTCTCGTGCCTCAGTTTCGTCGAGAAGATTCCGCCGGCGAATTTATGACCGCTTCCTCGAGTCGAGTTTATGGCCACCCGGAGCGTGATTCGAAAGAAAGAAGGGCCCGGAGCGCGATCCGAACGCCAAAAGGGAAAGAAAACGGAATCTGCCGCTAGATTCGAGCGGGACTCGTCACCGCTGAAAACGGAAAGCCTCGACGACTTTGTTCACAAGTGTCGCGGAGGTGAGAACGGCGATCGTGTTGGAACCATTTTCTGGATTTCTGACCATTAAGCTTCCCTATAGAATGATCCGAATGAGGCGAGGCAGTAATCGTGAACGACTAGAAGAAGAATGAGAAACCGACCAAAAAAGCTGAAATGTATCAGTCTTTCCCTCTTTATCTCGTGATGGAATGGAATTCGGGGTGGAAACGGCCTGCCGCTTATGGGCCCCACGCTCGGAATGTTTTTCCCCGTGTCACGAATATCTCCAATGTTGAAACGAGGGGAAGATATCTCAGTTCGTGGAGCGGAGATTGTCGAGCGAATTCCATCCAGCGCACGCGTTCCACTCATGATCGGCGTCAAGACCATTCGTTCAGGCTATTCCTCTATAATGGAATGTTCTCCTCGGCGGGAACAAAGTGCACGTTCTCCCACGATCGACACACGATTCGAGGTCTGTGCATCAGGAACGGGATCGGAATGTATACATCGATTCACTGACTGAGCTGAGCATCGCAGGGGGAGACAACATGAACCCAGAGTCCGATTCGAGAATCTCGCAGAGAAGGTAAGCACGTGGGGTCGTCGGACAGACACCCGAAGATCTCGTCCGATGTGCGTCGAATTGGAGAATCGTCGAAATTGTCAATCGGGCGATTCCATCGTTCCAGAGTGATCGAACCTCCGGACGGCCTGACCCTCTTCTTGATGGAGCATAGCGAAGATGATTGGGACGGCCTCGAAACGTCGCCGAGTTTTCATGACGGAGAGGAGGATGATCCCAACTCCACGGGACAATTTGATGATTCGACGGTTCGTGCTCACCATTCGAATGTACCCGAGCGCGTCTCGCCCGCGGTATTCACAAACTGAGTCAGTTCGAATTTCGTTCGAGTTCGGCTGCCTGGAGCGATTCCCCTGTAGCGCCGAGATTCAGCCAGTTGGGAGAAAAACACAATTGCGTGTGGATTCGCCGTCTCGGACATCATTGTTGATGGTTTGAGCGTAGGAGAATCTTCGAATCTAAAGCTGGCGACTTTTTAGAGTCGGGGCGCATCTCTTCGAAGACCGTGAGTACCGAATCGCCGCAGTTCGGATTGACATCGGCAAATGGACTCCAGAGAGGGAAATCTCGCGAACGGAAGCAGCGAGGAGCTGCACCACGTCAGGAGACAGCTCAGAACAACAGCTCACGTTTTTTCACCGATGTGGAATCGGTCGCTACTTCGGCGAGCTGAGAGAGCTCGTCGCACAGAATTCACCTCAGAATCGCGCTGTCCGTGAATGTTCTCTAATAGATAATGTTCTTTTTCCACAGGGTCCAGCCTCCGTTCGAGCTGCGGTCCACTCTGAGAGATGAGGCCGAGGGAGAAGGGTTGAAACGTGCGAATAACTTCGGTTGGAATTTCTTGACCGCCTTCATGTGGTCATTGTCTCGAGTGAAGGCAAGTTACCCACGTCAGCGCAAAACAGCCTGTATTTGCTTGCCAGTTCGCATCGCAGTGCCGGTTCCCATTGATCACGGGAGGGCGGCCGATTCGAGCCGATCAGCGACTCCATCGTCTGCAGCGACCACACCACTTCCAAGCTGTGTGATGGACGTGGGACTGTCGGCATGGCGCTGCTCTGAGTTCTAGAAACTGCAACTACATTGTTCTCGACTGATCAGACTGGAACTGTTCCAGATTTCTTGAGGCGACATCCTTCAGACGATCCCGTGTCTCTCCCGTGAGCCGCCCCAACGCAGCGGGATCTTGGGAAAGAAACATCGTTCGAGCGCTTTGCATCTTTTGCCGCATTCAGATGGCTCTCTTCCGGCTACGTGTCCCCCTTTAGGAGCTTACGGACTCTGGTTCACGCCGCCGCTCGATGATGTTGGAAAATTCCCCAATTTGATATAAAGTATTCTAAGGCTAATCGCGGGGACTATGATGAAATTCCTTGAGCCCATGAGAGTTTCCCCCCTTGTAGAAGTAGAAAGTTGGGCTCCACCTGCCGGTGCCAGAAGAGCCTTCGGAGGCTGCAAGCTCTGATTCTTGTTTTGGAACACGCGCGACAATGAGGCGGATGATTCGATTGACCGGCGCGCGTCTCAGTCAGCTAAAACGTGGGAGGAAGGAGGCTCCCTTCTCCGACCCTCTTCCCGTTACTCGGGCGATCCGCAGGTGGCGAGTCTCTGTCTCGCCACGGATCCTAGCTTCCCCGGAATATGCCAAATTTCTTCTCTGCCCCAAGTTCCCGGCCTCGCTGGACAGCTGGTGGCATAACGTGCTCCGATCGAGGCACGGGACTCTGCGCCCTCGGAGTAAGCGGAAGCGGAAGCCGTTCTCTCTCGGAGCGATTGACTCGTCGTCGAAACCCCGGCACAAAGTGGTTTCGTTTTTTGCCCAACATGCGACAGGGCGGAGCAGTGTGCGCTATACCGTGCCTGCGCCGACGCTCGCCGATATCTTCCAGCAAAGAGAATACGTTTCGAGCGGATCTCCTCCGAGCTATTGACAATCCGGCACCGCTGTGTCAATGTCGATTAGCGGAAGCAGCCTGAACCATCTCTCAACGCCAGTCCACTGCTTTTGGCCAAATTCTGAGCGCATGCGAGCGGAACAGATTTATTTACATGTCAAGTAAGCAAGCACCCAAGTCTCGGTAAGGCGTTGGCGTTTAGCCACCACGACGGCATCAGGCACATGGTGAGATCAGCGTGTCGCTCTACGCCATCCGGGAAGCCGCCTCGACGACTGTGTGCGGTTAACCGGTTCAACTACTGTCGATGATGTAAATACAACTACGAGTCAGCTTGACTGTAAACAGTTATGTGCTACCGCTCTGAATATGTTTCAGTATGGACAGACGCTCGCTGAGCGGATTCCCTGAACCAAACAGATTCCACGGACGAAAAATGCTGACTGGAGCAGAAAATTCTTGCGAAGAAAAGCCGATGGATAGCTAGTCGTGGATGGGGATTATTCGGGTCTCCGCTCGCTTTCGGTGATCTTTCCGCGCCGTGTTCAGCCAACACGTAGTACCTATGAAAGCGTCATTCCAGGGTGGATGAGTTGAGAATCTATTCGAGCCATTACGCACGTTTGCGGACCCAGCGTAGACGGCACAACGATTGCGGGCGTGCAAGTATGAGAAACGTCTACTCAAGACGGGTCGTTACCCTTTGCCCGTTTGTGCATAGAGTTCTATCCCACGTGAGAGCAACTACCGCTGCTGCTGACGCCGACTGTTGGAATGGAATGCTGAAGTATAAGCAGGTTCCTGTTTACAGGCGCGGCCATTTATCCACGATCCCTCAGGCTTCGAGCTTTTCGCAAATACCTACTCCGAAGGTATCGAGTGCGATCATTCGCCACTCTCATTGGGTCGCTTGTCCGTTTATCCGAGCGAGCGAGCGTCCCTCTATCCACCCACCCATCTCTCTGTGTATCTATCTGTTCATGAGTCCGTTCGTCGTTCAGTATATTCAACAACAACCTAAACAGGGGTCGAGCACTTGAGAGGGGCCCTGGCTTAGGTAATCGCCAGAGCCATCCAGCCACGTGCGCCCGTCTCACTCGCGCGCGAGCGTAGTAAATAGTAACAAGCTTCCACTTCTAAAAATACTCGTTTTTGAAACATCGAATCGGTTGACGCCCTGAGTAAGGCGGGCCACGCGTTTTTCCGCGCGATTCACGCGTCGGAACGAACTCGGTCCGGAGGTGTCGATAAAGCAGCGCGACTCTCGCTCGAAAGCGATAGTCCGGAACGACAATACACAAAATCCGTTTCATGCTCACAATAATTCGCACGTCACTTCTTCGCCGTCGCGTCCCCAACAGTAGAAGAATCCACTCTCCGGCGCCATCCCATCCTGTTAGGGTGTGGTCTTCCACTCTTTGACTTTTCAGCGGTTTTCCATTCACGCTCATCTTCTCCCCGTATGCCATTCCGTTGCTCGCTTCTCCATTCACTTCGCGCTCATCTGCAGGACAATCCTGGTAATCACGGTGCGTCTACGATGACAGGTCGGTACAATGGATTTTCGAATCGATCATCAATCATAGAGCACCACCGGACACAGCCGTCCATCGATCGATCACTTGAACGACTCGAGGCTGATTTATATATCAATCGTCAAAGCAATGACGCTTGAGTCAAGAAGACGAGCCTACAACAATCATCACAGTCATCATCATCATCGTCCGTTCTTTCGCATCTGACGTGTGTCAGTCTGAGTGTGTACCGATGCTTTAACGTCCTGTCGGAGCATTGTCTCGGACTGCGAAATTTCCGTGTTTGTGTTTTTTGTCTACCCCTCCCTATCCCGATTTTTCTCCGTGTATGAGACATCGATATCCCCGTATTAGGAGGCGAATGATCACCTGGCCGAACGGAAGCTCGCACACCGGTACGTTCGTAGCGACAACGGCATCCCGAACGAACCCACTCAGCAAGCTTTGACAGTTCAATCAAAACGCATTCGAAGACTTCGCACGATGGAGGGACAGGTTTCCAGCTCTTCTGTAAAACATTTGGTATTGTTCTCCCCCGCCGAACTAACGCTCAATCTTCATCAGAGGTTAACGTCAGTGACGGCGTCGTATTTCGTTCGACGAAGACAACAAGAACGATGACGCTTGACGAAATGGATGGTGCGAGATGACGGAGAATTCACCCCGCTTCCCATTATCCCCTCCACCACCGCCGAAGCCACAGCGAGCCGTCTGAGAAGCGGCCAATCCGAGAAATCCTCGGTCGAAGAAACGGATACACGTACGTCATTCACGTCAGAGCTCCATTTTCGTGAGATTGTTGTGGGAGTCAAGTCTTCTGTTTCCTCCCGATGCCGAATTTCCGCTGCCGCTATGACGGCACAAAACGCAGCCGGCGACAGCGATCCTTCGGGCCAGAAAAAAACTTCGAATTGATTCTGAGGAGCTTCGCCTCGCCGTCGTTGTACTCAGCCAAACATGGCTCCGTTCATTTGAATGTCTTCGTATTCCTCCCGTCTTCTTCGTCTTCAATGTCCAGGACACTACGGTGGAACCGCGACGAACTCATAGAAACGGGGCGCTGAGGCGCCGGAAGCAGGGCGGTCACCAGCTGGTCCTTCGTCACCGGTTTCGGTAGTTTTATTTGCGTGTGTGCGTTTGTAACAATACTGAAGAATCGAGAACTCCTTTGGGATAAAAACGAAAATTCGTACAGCGGAAAACCGGGACGTCGCGGCGCTCGACAGTCTCAGTCGTCAAAAACTTGCCGTAGGTATAAAAATTACGCACAAAAGACAAACACGCGCAAATAACCAAGAGACACACTTAAATAAACTCGCACAAGGTGCCGGATCTATGTGGAACACCGACAACGGCAGACGAGTAGACGACGGCGCAACCTACCACTGTAGACTTCGGGACCAATGCACAAATGCTCTGACTAGCCGGATCTACAGAAAGTCAGTCAGTCAGTCAGTCAGTCAGGCACTCAATTGGATCCGACGGAGTCAGCAAGACATGAGTCAACAAAGTTCGCAGAGCGGAGACGCTCCGAGGAAAAGAGGAACAACAACAACGTGAATAACAACAATAACAAAAGCAGCGACTGCAACATTGTTCGATTTTGAGGTCGCGTTCGACTCAGTGATTTTTCAAGAAGAGCGCAGGGCTGCCGGTCCGCCGTTTCGGTTGTCGGTCCGTAGCCTGGCGATAATCAGCTCGATCTACTAATCATCGAGCGGCCCCGAACGAAGCGTCTCTGTTTGATGGAAAATCAAAACAGCCAATCAGGAGCAATGTAGTAAAGGCACATTCAAGAATCTACAGGTAGACAGGGGCGCAACAAGTCACTCCTTTCGATGTCAGAGGCGGAATCGGATCTCGGAATGATCATCTTAGATCATGGTATCAAGCATCCGGCTCACCAAGAACCACTGGTTCAACGTTTGGCTTTTCGCGGAGATTTCCTTCGTCTCCTCGGCTCCGATCGGCGTTGACTAGGGCGGATAATGTCATTGAATCCCCAAGCTAGGGCTCCCGCAATCAGTCGTCGACCGGTTCGTTCGGAGTGTGCATGCAAACGTCCCCCATCCGGATTCTGCATCGTCAGCGGACTCCGGAGATGAGTCACTCGGACGCGGGTCGTTCATCCATCCATACATCAATCATACGTAATCTCTGACGTTTTTCGAAAGTCTCTTGTCGTTTGAGCGCTTTAATTCAGATAAATGTTCCCGCTCATAGAGACCGGAAGCGATGATCGGTCGACCGTCTCTTAGGATAAGTTCATTAAACATGTTGTTTCTAATGGAACCACAAGTTTCAACATCCTTTGCGGCTAGCCATCGGCCGTTCGAGCTCGTGACGAGCACTTATACAGCGCCTATTCGGCAAACAAAGTGTCGGTCGAATACTCTCGATCTATCTTTAAACTTCTATTCGAGTGTCGAGCCGCAGCAAAATCATGGCGGGAATTTCGGCTTTACGGATCGGATCCTTTAGGAAAAAGTACACGAGAAAATTGCGGTCATTCTTCACGGACTTCAAGCGCAGCTGTTGTGTTGAGTTCGTTCAATGGCCACCGGGCGTGTCGATGATCATCTCAAAAAATGTCGAGTTTCTCTTCATTCATTCGCTCTGTCGTTCATCTATCTATCTATCCATCCATCCTCGGAATCTTTTTTCCCTCATTTCCTCGATGCGGGTCGACCGAGATTATATTAAAACCACGCCCGATCTAGTCGCCGGCCGTCTGTCGCTGGCAACTTCGGCGGCAATGCCAGCGTCTAAGCGTCGAGTCCTCGGCGCAAACCCAGAATGGTAATAGGTACCGGGACGAGTATTTTGTCGCCGGCTCATGGTCGATTACGGTATGTGCAAACCTCCCGAGAGGCTTTAGCAGAAGATTTATCGCAAGCTGTCGTCTTCTCAACA